TTATTGGGCAGCGCCGGGATCCGATGAAATTGATAGTATTTGACGTAGAAGTGATTACATGGTGTGCCAATGGCAATAGCAGCCGTCAGTGAATGGACCGCCACGCTGATTACTTTGGATTCAAATAGTGATAGACAAGTGCACTCTGTACGATTATGGAACTCGTAGATGGAACACAACCTAATGTATTATTGTTAAATATTATTCCATAGTTTGATTTATTTTCTATCTCATATGTTTCATGGTTAAGATGGTTGGTATCCCAATTTTAGATATGTCAACACTTATCTACGATTATCTTATAGATTTAAAATATAAAAGTAAGCAAGTAATATGTTGCATTCGTAAACAGATTACGTGAAGACTTTGTAATTACTTAGTATACAAAATATAGATTAGTTTTTTTTTAATATGAATATAAGTTAGATTTAGGATTCGGAATCTATTTAACATAATCGAAAAAGATTCCTAGAGATTTAAGCTGGTGTGTAGTGTTCGTCTACGACGTTGTGGTGGTCCAGTTTCTCATGTATGTGACATTTTCCGGGTATGTGTTATTTAGACACCAATCCGCCTTGAGCAAACGTGGTGATTAATGCACAAACCTTCTTCGTGTGAGAAGAAATGCTTAGCAGTGAACAATAGGCTGATGATGTGATATGTGTAGTTCTATTCCTTGTCTAGTCTGTGGTGCACGATGTTAAGCCGCCCGGCGTAATGACATTGTGCTAGCGCGTCCGTTTTTTCTCTCCATCGTATTTGATGTTATTGTTATTATTTTTCTCTTGTAGCCCATCTAGAGGTCAACGACTTGTCTAAGCTTCTGCTGGTTTCTTAATAGAAATGTATTCACAAAATATTTTGAATGTTCCTTCCCTTTTTTGTAGTGGTTAACGAGTGGTGATTGTGTGTTGTTTTTTTATTATTGGTCTTCCAAATTTGTATTGGTTTTTGCAGTGATTATGTATTTGTATTCCTAGTACCTATATGCCTAGAAAAGTACTGATTTCTAGTAGAAACTAATTTTAAGAGTTGTCTAATTCGCCTAAAAAAATTTTAAAACACTGGGCATGGAAACGGCTTTTTCTAACTAGTATATGTATAAGCGAAAATTAACGTTAATGATTTTTCAAATTATCTGCACATTTAGGTAAGTACAACCAACAAACCACAATGATTTCTATGAAAGACCATAAAATACAGGTCTTTCTGATAATATTTACATATTTGTTTACAGAATATTGATCATTATGGTAACCGAAATATGTATTTAATTAAGTACGTACCTACGAGTACATTTATGATACCATTATTTTAAAAAGTGTTTGCTTCAATCGTTTATACCTACTTATAAATACTTTAAATAACTTATCAGATGCTCTTTTTAACCGACTTAAAAAAAAGGACGAGGTTCTCAATTCGATTAATTGTATTATTATTTTTTGTTGAATAGAAATATAATGTTGTACGTTGGCATAAAACGGTTGTTTAAGTAAATAAATTTGATACTTTCTTTTGTATAATGTTAGTAGAGATTTATTTTTAGTTTTTAGGGATGTCGAAATTAGCTTTTAGAAGATAATTTTCCATGTTTTCTAATAATCATACAACCTTCTTTTAAAAAGAGGTTTTAATCCAATGGCCTATTAAAGAAGTGAGACATAACATTGAAGTTTTTTAAATATTATGTAGGTATGACGTAAATATAATTAGTAACACCCAATAAGGCTGTACTAATTATTTGTTGAGCATGTTTACTCGACTGTAGGTTTAATATTTCGCTTATCATGCTATTTTCACTGACTCTAAAACAACAATGTTTTGACTTTAATGATTAATTTTTTTCCTACAAATAGGTACTGTATTCGGCAATCGCCGACTAATTATCGAACTTTGTATAGTTTTTTCAGATGTTTTTACATAATCGTCGTGTATATATATATTTATTGTTAAAAAAACATTTAAAGTCGTTGCAGGTTGTCATAACGAGGTTCACAGGAAAGAGGGAATGGCAGGACAGATTTTTATTACCTATACATATAAAATATGTCTTTAAGACCTCTTTGGAGTTATTGATTTAAAAATCATTTGATGTCGAGTATGATCCTGGCCGGCTTTACAATATTACAAAACAAATTCTGTTTCAAGTTTCAGTTTCGAATTACGAATAAATATTTGTAAAGTGTTCGAATTTTGAATCGTAACTTATTTTAACGCGCTTCGTTTGGCGCGTGCAAGCTTGCAAGGTGTTCGATCAGTGCGCATAATTGGCTGGTTCCGATTGTACGGGAGCGCATCCCCCCATCACCGACTGTCTACGTCATCATTCTATAACCGCATTGTTTGCCTGTCTGTATCGAACGATACGCCGATTTTCAAGGAAAATACATATATTTCAACGTTTTTTGAGAAAAAAAAATATCTATTTCGAAATTGAATTTCGAATTCCTTAGACGGTTTAAAATTAGAAATATTTCTAACGCTCTGAATAAGTAGTAGTACCTTTAAGACGTGATCTTTCTACGTGCTTTGATAGTTAGGATGAACAGAAGAGAATCGTATTATAAAATTAAGAACACAAGGAAGCTACGGACTTGTAACCACGTAGATGTCGTTAAACTATAGCCGTGAATCATAAGAACGCAATCGAACTGGACCATTACGAAGATATTTCTCTGACAGGAAACAAACCATTACCGATGCAATATCGATCGTTTTATTTAAGTACAATTTTGTTCCATTCAACAACTTGTAATTTATAAGCTATGACGCTTTTGTAATTTTTCTAGTCATGGCCATTGGAACGGTATATAGAATAGGTACCATTGAAGAACGAAAGACCAAAGTCATAGCGCCTCGCCTTAGACGTAGGCTAGATAGGTTTCACTAGCTATCTGAATGCCATGTAGTAGGGAGTGAACAAAGTCCCATATATTACTGAGATAATTTCCAAAATGACTGATGAGATGATTAAGAGCTCAAAAGTTCCCAAAAAGATGAAAGGACCAAAACACGAATCAAAGGACCATAAAATTTGTTCATAAGTAGATACTGTGGAAATAATTAACTCCTAAGATGCACGAAGCAATCCGACAGTTAGCAACAAGCATTAGAGTTGACATGGGCTGTCGGCGCAGCGGCTAATAACGTGCGTAATGGCAGATCGTCATTAGAGGCGCGCGCGCAGATTGCCGGCACCGCTGATGAAACCCACTGGGATTGCCTTGTAAACGCCTCGAGTATAAAACTGCGTTAAGAATCGGTAGATAGGACATCTTACTTTAAGAAGTCTTACTAGTATTATAAATGCGAAAGTTACGATGTTTGGATGTTTGTTACACAATCAGGCCACGGATCTGGATGAAATTTGGCACAGGCATAGGATAGACTTCAGATTAGGACATGAACTACTTTTATAAACATACCATGCAGGTGAAGCCGCGGGCGGAATCTAATTTTTGTAGGTAATGTTTTCTTTATTTTTGTTGAAGTCGGAATAATAATAATATATTATGATGATGAATCGTAAGAATTACCACCATTTTGTTGCTAGGCGAAAGCTCGTAAATTTGACTAAGTTTCATATGTCAGTCTTGGTATCTATAAGCGATAAAAATTTAAAAATATTTGAAGAAGAAATCGATGTTTTTGCTAATTTTTAACTGTAGTGTTCTAGGAATATGTTTTATTTTGTTAATTGCAGAAGCTTGCCAAACTACCTACAGACACGTTTTTCGACAATTTCACGGATTCCATCAGAAGCAATTTGTGGTTATTTTAATTGTTCTTCAATTTAACACTGAATTAATAACAAAGGAAATATTTCGACACTACTTTTTAGATGCGTTAATAGAAATAGTAATAATTATAGACGTAAATTCAAAACTCGTACAACGGTTGATAATATAGTATATCTATTTTTCTTAGGGTTTTGCTTCTGGGATTATATTTTTTAAAATTCATACACTGACAGGCGGTAATTGGAAAATACGAACTAATCAGATTCCCACTTTTTTATTATTGCCTTCTGCAAGCCTTTAAACAAAAGTGAACATTATTCCTTTTAAAGAAAAGTAAACTTTACAATAATAAGGAATTAAAACTCAAATTTCTTTTTCATTTACCTAGTCTAGTAGATTTAGTGGTTTATACACAACAGCTCGTCGGTAAATAAGGCGGCAGTCAGTTAGAGGTTCGTGATTGTGAGCCGCGCATAATGAGCGCGGATATTAATAAATTTAACGCAGGCAACGCCGGGACACTTTACAGTTATTTAGGCCATAATTACGTCAGGAAAATTACCTATCCGTCTACTGTTGTTGTTACATGATTTGCTACATTATTTTTATGTTGAAATTGTTATTTAAGCTATGTTGGATTTAGATACATTTGATAAGGTGGTCATTTTAAAGGACTGTTGATTGTGAAAGGGTTAAATGTGATTAATACTTAAAATCTCGACAGTATTCAGTTTTTTTTCGCACTTAATTCAAAAATCTTTTTCGTTCTACTCGTATTTCGATGCGAAAAAGAAGTGATTTTATGGTCGTTTTGTTTAAATATATATATATATATATTTTGTCTGCCAATTTTGGGTTCATATAATTGTCATTTTTTTTCTAAATCTTGCACATTAATAAACATTGAGCCAGTTGACATTCGGTCGACCAGCCGGAAGCATTCAAATACCGAGACTTAAGGAAAAATGTATCCACTAATCCACTCGAATTATCTAAAGCAAGTTATACCTATGCGCAAAGTTTAAGTACTTAAATTTTTTGCTTGGTTTACTTGCTTGACGTGACAATAAAAAATGTTTAAAATTCGTAAAAGAGTTTTCTTTTTATAGTTCATCACAACATACAACAATGACGATTAAACCTACAGTCCGAAATTATGGTGATAACGAAGAAATAATGTAATATCTTGTATTTTTCTAAAGAATATTGTTAGTGTTAAAAATATTTAAAAAAAAGTTAACTAACCATCAAGGTACATACCTCCAGCAGGCAGGTTGGCGTTAGTCTTGTACTCTCGTTCCTCATGGGAGAGGGACCGGAGGCTCCTCACAGAGGAGGTCTTATAGTCCATCTCTCGCAGAGCTAGGGACGCGCTGTCACACGTGATTAGGGATCGCTGCAGGCCGAAGGACCGGATTTGGTGCGGCGACGCATTTGTACCTGTGAAGGCAATATTATTATTTTTTACTTCACTTAAAAATACGCGTCGAATTGAGAACCTCCTCCTTTTTGAACTCAGTTAAAAAATTGGTTGGACAGTGGCTGGACAACTAGCTGCCGCTCAATATGTCGCGGTTTCGATTCCCGCACGGACCAATACTTTCTATGATACACAAATTGTTGTTTCGGGGCTGGGTATGATGTGTATCAGAAATTGTATGTTTGTAAACGCACTGACGACACAGGAGAAAATCCTGGTGTAGGGCAAACAATTAATAAGTATAAAAAATACACTTATAAATAAATAAATAAATTGGTTTAGTTTTCTCGAGGTACTCGTAATATCAGTGACAGTAAAGCAATCTTCTTGGTAATAAGTGTGTACCAGTCAAATATTTTTAACGTAGTGAAGAGAAATGGAAAGTAAAAATACAGCATTTAATCATTAAATACATTCGGAATAACGCGTCAAACAAGTTTTTTTTTGATACCGCTGTAGAAACAAATACAAATTCAATTTAATGCGGTTCAAAATTACTACTTAACTCCCTACCTGTGTCACGCACCACATACTTGGGTAAATAATTAAATTAATTTCCTAAACTAGCCTAAAAACTATAAGTTTCCGGCGTCCGATCTTCACTTAAACGTCAAAGTGTCAATCACCTTATACCCCGAGCGTTTTTTTTAATCGGACCAAAAATTGGCGGACCTTCTGTCGGACCTTTAAAAAGGTACCGCCCTAATTATTTCGGACTCATGTTAGAAAAAATACATAGATATAATTAGTTTATGAGTTTACACAATGTAAAGGTGATTTTGTACCGCAATTATGTATTGAGCCGACGCAAACAAATGCATTCAGTTAATTATTATTTGTCGTTGTACAATAATATGGTGTAGTGATGGGCTGCGGTGTTAGAAACTTATCGATGTTTGGTTGTTATAATAATTATATTTTATGATACAATAATATTATCAGTTATGATTTTAATAAATTGTTATTATATTAGTAGTTAGTTTAGGTAGTAACTGATTATAAACTTTCACATTACATTTGTATATGAATATCTCCAAGACTTCTTAATAGCATTTGAAAAATAAAGATATTTTTTCAATCCTTCAAACAATGTTATTATAAAGTAAGCGTTTTAGATTAAAGAATGACAATATTTGAAACTGAATTCGTGAACAATGAATTACTTATACCCGTTTAAAGTATTATTCGGTCGGTAACCTTGCAAATAAATTGCATTTTATCGATAGTCGATAGTCCGCGTAATGTGGGGGTACAGCGCAATTAGCGAGGGTCACTGCGAAGCGGCTTACGTCCTGCCTACAAATTAAGTCTATTAAGTCAAACTTTTAAGTCCCCCAGCATACGATATCTTCCTTTCTTGTGCGCCAGAGTTTTGGAGCTTATTCGCTAAGTACTAGCCTTTTGTGTCCTTTCTACTCTTTGTTTGCTATTGTGTAGAGATTTTTGGTATTTATGCAGCGTTTGATGAAGATCTGATGATGTTAATGACGTATTCCTTTCATTTAATTAAGAGGGTTCTTGTAAGTAGTTTTGTTTTTGAGCTATAATACAAATAAGTTTTGGTTTGAAGGAACATTGCTGGATTGAGGTTGTCCTGAACAATATTGATCATGAATGGTTGTGATATTTGTAAAAGTAGAATTATGAAATGTCCCTGAGCCTGTTCCTCGCGCCATGCCGGCAGCAGGCACAAAGGTCCCAGCAGTTGTGCAGTGCGTGAGTGCAACTTATTACTGATATAATTTCACTATTGTTTGCCGCCGGCTCCGGCGCTCCATATGGCGTAACGTGTTTTTTTTTTAATATTTTCTTCCAATTTCATCGATAGTTCGAACTCCTTTTGAGTTCGAGCTCCTTAGTTTTGCGTGACTGACAGGCGGAAGACGATATTTTATGATATTAATTAGATATCGGTGCGTGGTTTAACTTGGGGTGGAGTCAGTTAAATAAAGGTGTATTAATAATATTGTTCTACGGTAAAGCTTAACTTGGTGGTTGGGGGTGTTTAGGGAAATTGTGGCTCATGTGATTGTTGATGGATCTTTCAAAAAACAGAAATGTTTAGATGAGAAAATCGGGAAGGAAAATTATTTTGTATTATTATCCTGATTGTTATAAGTTACAATATAATTAAAATGTAATATACTATCGTACGTGCGACCTTCACAACACTTGAACATTATGCAACGCACACCACAATAAAGTAGGTAAAAAACCCGCACCGAAGTGGCGTATCAGTGGCGACTCCCGTGGGAAGAAAACAGTTATCTACTATTCGCGATATCGCGGTCGCGCGCTATCATATAATATATGAAAATTACACGATAATAATAGAAACAGTTGACAATATTATATTATTAATTTTAATTGTTTATGTTCGCGGTTTACGAAGCGCTTCGTATAATAACAAATTGGGCTGAGCTCAGGACGCCCGCGATCGAATTATGTTTTCATATTAGTTTTTTAATTAATTGGTAACTTGTTATTATGTAAATGTATTTATTGTTGTTTGTTTGTTATGACCGCATTGTTGTGCTCGTAAACGTGTTGGTTATCAGTAAACGCTGTGGCTATGTGCCTGTTTTTATTAATTAACTCAAATATAAAAATTAAATACTAGAATTCCTTGCGTTAATCACAATATTCGTCGAATTGTATTATTCTGAATCTGAATTTATTACGTGAACATGTATTACTAGAATGACGTGTTTCATTTAATAATATATTTAAATTTCAGGCAAATATTGTTTCATGAAATCTTGTGTTTAGATACTGCATAAAAAGGTGAAGCAGTAACTCAAAGCGGGAGAAATCATTTGATGATTTTCCCCTCACAAAAAAATATTAATCTATATAAATATACTAAAAGATCTTAGACAATGTAACATACTCGTATACTTACTAGTTTTGGAGCGTGGCTCCCGAGGTCCATCAACAGTGACTTTGATGGCTTTTTGGTAGGTGCATACTTGAGGTGGGTTCGTTGATATTGTTATTGTTAAGGAGAAGCTTTTCCCTGGAAAAAAACGAAGAATTAATTAATTACATGTGTATAATGATAAGATATCAATGAATTAAGATTCTTTAGAACAGCTTACACTTAGTTGATCACAAGAATGAGAGAGCCATATTTCAGAATGAATGGGACTAATCGAACGGAGGGGGCGCAGGTGATTCCACCATCTAGCAGAAAACTGAAGGGAAACAGTCACAGCGTTGTGTTTCCCCTATGTCACCCCTGCCCAATAACTAAATCTCCAAAAAGTCGGCAATGTATCGTAACACATCTGGTGTTGCGGGTGTCCGTGAGTGCCGCCGATTGCTTAAAGGTACATTATTGCTTATCAGGTAATCCGTCTGGTCACATAACAAAAAACATTTAATTGTTGTATTTGATTGTTGTATTTGAAAAAAGCTGTACTGAATCTGGAAGTCGTATTTCTATTAAGGTATAAGTACACTAGAGAAAACTCTCACCTATTGCCAAGGAATGTACCATATCCTTTTAATAATATAATTAATCTGTGTCTCTGTGTGATATTCAGCTACTAACTAATCATTCGAATATGAACCTAATTACATTGTGGTTAACACAAAAGTACTTTCTCCGATAACATAATATTTATTATCATTTCAAATACAACACAACACAATACAATACAATTACATTTAATACAACAAATCATAACATCGTTTAGTAGACCACTAATTTACACGTTTAAATACAATTGGACGTAACGTTCCGACTAGGTTCAATCAAATTAATCAACTTATTAGTCGTACTATTCAACTAACTGTGTAATCGTGTTATATAAAGTACCTATGTACAGTTTATATAGCTATTTAATATGCAGATATGAAAAAAAACATTAAACTATAAAGACAGTAGATATAATATTCTAATTATGGTTTTTAATGTAGTCATATACTATGTCGGTCCGCGATACCGCAGCCTCGACATGGCAAGGAAGCCATTGATGACTTTGCTTATTTCTAAAAGGAATAGGAGGAATAATTTAAAAGAAAACATCGTTGAATCAAAGAATATCTTATGGTGAAAAAAAAACAAAATTTGTAACTTATTTTGGTTATATCTATAAAAAAAAAGGACGTGATGATGTTAGGGAATTTAAAGTAAGGTTGATTAAAGTAACAAACTAAAACAATGTTAAGACAGTTCAATCTTACTTCAAAATGTCACAACCCTCGGTATCGGAACGCAAAATCCAAGCAAAACATAATGTTTTGTTCCATTTTGTCTTGTATAGCGACTGATGAGAGGTTCATCCTTACAAACTATACATAAATATGCCTGTAAGTATACATTATGCGCCGGGGTTGCGGGGTAAGCGCGATGAGGCACCGCGACCTCGGCCCAGAGCAGGAGAAGGGACAGGGGGATTTTTAGTTAGAGTTTGACACTCCCTCCCGCCCGGCCCTGGGCGGGAGAAGTCATTTGATGATTTTCCCCTCACAAAAAAAGTATACATTATCTATGTAAGGTGTAAATCACATCTTTCTCTAGTCATGTAGTTCATATGTTCATATACTAAAGTCCATATGTATATATATGTGCATTTATGTACTAGTGTGGAAATATACGTACTAATGTGGATCGCGTATGGTGGAAAATGGCGAGCTTTTTGGGCGCCCGATTTGCGGTTACCAGTAATGAATGCACCGATAAATACCGAATAAAATTACTGTTAAAATGAGTGGATTAACATGTCTAATGCAGATAATTCGTGTGTAGAGCTCTCGATTCGGAATAAATGACTGATTCGGACGTGTCCCGGGTGCGTGATTAGATACGTTTTGATATTTGTTTTGGATTTGTAGCTAAGTGAGTTTGGTGCGAGTTGTGAACCGTAGATAGTTGTGTTTGCATTGTGCATTCTGTAACTTCGATACTCATGTCTTAACTCGATAGAGAAAATATTAATCATGATTTTGTAGGTAAATTTTTAATCTCAAAGTAGTTATGAATTTCGGAGCTTTGCGTACTTTTCAACTTAGACCGGTTACCTACTAAAATTTTAACATAAAATATTTCAATTTTCGGTGTCTTTTCACAGACAAAAATCCAAAAAACAAACAATTCTGTAGGTACTATTGTTTTGTAGTCTCGACTGAATTATTAACACCAACTACGTTTTTGATAAGAGAATTTAGAGCTTCCTGTTTTTGTGACAAGTAAAGACATGTTTTTATGTAGGTACTGATATGGTTTAAAAATATAGTCTCTATTTTTCTGTACAAACGAGGTCATGGTTCTTAGGTTGCTATTCCGATTTACTGTAATTTGGTTAACTGATAAATATACATGAAAAGCTATCTATATGTATACCTATGTGTTTCTTTGGAAACAAATTATATAGTAGATCTTTGCATCGACAAAGTAAAGTCGTCTCGCCCAAACACTTCTATACGGAAACAAATCATCATAAAACACGCTAAACCTTAAAAGGCGTGTCCCGAACGATGTGAAATATTGCTTCTAAAGTTGCCATTAAACTTAATACACTCACATGATCACTCATCAACAGTTTAGGACCTAACACAATACGAGCGAAGCCGTAAAACATGACATTGTATTGCAACGACCATCTCCTGGAGGTGTTGAGAGAGGCGCGTGAAATATTCAATTATTGTGCTCAGGCGCAGGTGGGGTACGGGGAGACAGGCCGCCATCTTGATTTACGATCGAGCGTAAATCCTGAGTGACATTTGTGAGTGAAGACGACCAAGACGACTTGTGAACCTCCGTCTCTTGTGTACACGAATATGACACGATTTTCAGGAAAAACTTCTGTGGTCGCTTTCTATAGCCGTCTAGAACACATTGTAGTTTGATGGTACGGGTTTTGAAGCAGCAGTGGAAGGTAGGTAATAGGAATGTGTCGTCTCTGGTAGAATATGATCATGAGTTCTCAATATTGTATGGAACGCCCAAAGAGCATAAATATAAATCGTTATGTGCCTGTCGCGACATGTGAACATCTCTCGTCAGAGCTCTCACAGCATTCGGGAACATGAGGGAAGTTGAGTTATATGACTGTAAAAGTTGTCAAGTTGGCATTTGAAATATTTATATTTTTAAGAACTAATTCGAACCCTTCTTGATTTTCATGGTTATAAAGGAGGGATTATAACTATAGATGACCTTGACTAAGATGTTTAGTCCAAAGCAGTGCGTGATAGGAATTTTGAACCAATTCATTCAAGATAATTTTATTTTCTTAGACGTCCCGTTTAAATAAGGAACACAAATCATAACAAAATAAATCAGGCTGGCTACACACCTATCGTAGATACATAATATAGATATAAACACGATGTAACTCGATACCATCGTGTGTGAACTACCATTAGTTGTGACGGGCTCATCACAACAGTGCATCGATAATGTGACGAAATTTAAGTGGACAGGCGCGGACTGGCCCAGTGGCGTGATTCGGAAATTGACATTCTTTTTGTTGTAGTATTATGATCGGATAAAATATTTCTTTTTTTTGCCTTAGGATGTAGAATGATATACAAATATAATCTCGTTGAAATTAGAAGGAAGGAAGAAAGGGATTGTTAAAGATGTAGAAACAATAAACATGATTGCAATGTTTAATGTAGAATAGTTTTGTAGAGATAGGGATGATAAGTGCTTAAAATGAGGGGTTAATGTACAGTAATATTTTTAATAATCTTATAGAGCAAATTCTATGAAACAAAAAAGTCGACTTTTCTCTAAAAAAAATATTTATTACTAGCTACTCACTCTTTTTTCTGTTCTTATAGATCGTACCGTGATATTTTATAGCCTATAGCACTAAGAAACGTTGAAGCAATTTGTCAGTTAAAGAATTTTGGAAATTAACAAACTTTAACAGTGGTGCCAAAGATTACAAAAATACAAACTTTCAAAAATTTTACCTCCTTATAATATGAGTATAGACGAGGTTAAAACTTGAGCTACCCAAATTTGAATTACAACACGTTTTGATATTTCGAAATCAGTAATTTGATGATAATGTGCTATGTCGAAAGAGAGTACCTTCATACTTGATAAATTGTTCAGATAATTAGGGGCGACCATAAACGGCATGACCAGAGTGTAACCAAATCATTTTATGTAGCGGTCGTCACTGTGTTACGGTTCATTCTCGGTTTTGAAATTCTATTTTTTGTTTGTCTTCACTTTGATAACGTTAATCTTGACTGACCAATTCATATGAAGCAACTGGTAAGTGTATTTGTCCAAAATTTCGTTGATTCGTTTAAAGTTGTAAGAATTGTAAGTTCAGAACAAATCTATTTCCAAATTTAAATTATTGAGATTCGTTTAGTTTTCTTGTATATTGTATTGAATAGAAAAATGATGAATAAAAAATCTATACATAAAAGACAGAATTTGATGTAAGGGAGATCTGATCTAAATGACAGCTAATTTATTGATAAAAAGTACAACAACATTTTGTTAATCCCCAGTGTAGGGACATTTAAACAAGGTCACAAAATGAAATTAATTCGTGCTAATAAATATATTTCAAAAAACGAAACGATATGCGATCAAAATTCTTAGAAAATTCATATTTAAATATTGTAACGTCCTCATATAATTGAATACTGAGAAACTAAAATTAATTTTATATTTTTACCATTAATTTAAAAGTAGTGACGTTGTATTTGTAAGTATAGTACCTATAATGTGGTTTTAAACAACAACAAGTTTTTAAGGCAATCTTCCTGGTGGTGGAAAGCCGAGGCAATATGATGAGGCTAAGGAAATTGAGGTAAATGGTATTTTTTACCTCTTTATGATTTAACTAACGACGTCAAACTATCGGTATAAGTTTCTGGAACGAGAACGTTTGAATTAACAAAAAAAAAATATATATATATACTCTCACAGATAAAGAATCTATTTATATGAGTATTGTTAAGGTGAAGACTAAGTATCTTATCTCAAGAAATGCTGGTTCAAATTGAACAATTCTGTTTTGGATAGTATATTTATTAAGG